CTTATAGTATTATAATTTTATAATAATTTAATATATGTAGGATCCATTTATGTAATATGGAAATTTTTTCTATTGATCTAGACATTATTTAATGACATTACGAAGAAAATTGCTTTCAAGTCATCAATTTTCATTAGAAAAAATTTACATGTCATGTGAATAGGGCTCACGTGACAGAACGAAGAAGGCCTTAATGCCTGTGCAATGGGTTTCACAAAATTATGTTGTGGGGTGATCTTATCTGTCAAATTTAAGTTACTTTATTTTAATTTAAATTTACTTTATTTTAATTTAAAAATACGTGAAGTAATTTATTTTAATATAAAAACATGTGAGTTGATAAATTTAAAAAATATATATAATTCATTTTAATAAGCATGAAAAATATTGATGAGAAGCATTTTATATGTTTTAGTATATTATTTTAGTTTTGACCTTATTACTAGTTATGAGGAGAATATGTGATTTTTAATAGCTTTTACATAATTTTTATTTTTTAGACAAAAAAAAAACTTAAATGCATAATAATAGAATTTTTTGAAATTAATTAAAACCAATCACGGACTTAGATTGACTCATTGACAGCAGCCAAGGGAAATCTTGAAAAAAGGATTACGGAGGAAAGCTGGTTTGATTTGTCGTTAACCTTTGAAGACTACAAAATTGATGAAGTCCATAAACAGAGATAATATAGTTGGTTATAATTTGTAATATTATAATTTTTATGAACAATATTACATATAACTTTTGAAATAAAAATAATCAATTATATGAAAATATATTATAATTATATATTTATAATAGGGGTTAGTGCTTATCCGCCTTACTTCCAAAAAATTAGGAGGAAAAAGGACAAAAATCACCTTAATGCGTGCTTTAAAAATATGGTAATTTAGTCTTTTTCAATAAAAATTTATTGAAACGACGTAGTTTTAAGAGGATTTTCCTCCTAATTTTTAGGAGATAAGGTTGACAGGTACTTTTTCTTTTATAATATTATGTAATATTATAATTATATATTGAAATAAGTGCCTATCAGCCTTACTTTCTAATTTTTAGGAGGAAAATCATCCCAAAACTATGTCGTTTCAATAAATTTTTATTAAAAAAACTAAACTACCATATTTTTAAAGCATGCATTAAGGTGATTTTTGTCCTTTTTTCTTTTAACTTTTTGGAAGTAAGACGAATAAGCACTAACCCCTTATATATTTTTGGTCAATCCATAAAATAATATTGGACACTTAGCTTATGATAGTTTTTCAGGGTATTAAAGTTTTTCTTTGTTTCTTAATTTTTTTTCTTACGCACCTCGATTTGTAGCACAGGAAATTCCCCTGCTCCATGTATGTTCATATATATGATAGAGGTAACTTAAGAATGTCAACAGGGCTCCGCGGGGCCGAGAAGTCCTTTGTGTCCCTGTCCCCGCCATTCCTCGCGGGAATTTTTTACGGGGTAAATTTTGCCTCCCACCTCCATTTCTCGCGAGGAATGGGGATCCTTGTGAGGATCCCCATTCCCACCAATTGATACCAAAGTATATATTTTTTACATCAAACATAAATAAAAATTAATTTAACATAAATAATTAAATCAACAAAAAGGGAAAATTGAAGGTGAGATCGTGAGGAGAAATTGTAGAAGCAAGAAGGGGAGGAGAAGGTCGAAGGTGAGGTGAGAGTTTGATTGTCCAACCGAGACCGAGAGTGAGTGAGGGGCTGAAGTAAGGGTTGTGGTTGCACTGTTGCGTGAGTGAGGAGAAAGGGAAATAATAAGGTTAGGAAATTAGGGTTGGAAGGAGGGTGATGGGTTGGGTTGGGTTGGGTAAAATTTAATTTTTATTGAATTGGGTTTGGGTTTTATTTTAAAGGTTAAATTAAACTTAAAATATATATTTTTTAAATTTTTTACCGGGATGGGGTTCCCGCGAAATGGGAAAAATTCTTCACGAAATTTCGCGCAAAAAAAATTATCCCCATCCCCACCCCGCAGGAAGGAACATTCCTCCCCGCCCCGTCCCCATGACGGGGATCCCTGCAGGGATCGAGAGAAATTGCCACCCCTAGGTAACTTCACCACTAATAGCACTTACATGACAAACTTCAATCCTCTCTTCTCCTTCACTTCTTATTGAGAAAATGATTATAAGTTCTACAATGTTTATATAGTTTTTACAACCACAATTTCTAGTATATATGAAGATCTAATGGAGATAGAATAAGTCTAGAGACCAATTAAAATGACATGAATCAAATTATACACTGAACTTCAAAAACGAATTCTAAACTCTGGGCTACGGTACATTGACCATAAGACTAACTATATGCA